AAAGTGATTGATGTTATATCGTGAGGTTAGTTGCTCACCAATTTATGTGGAGTAATAGAGGAGTGGCTAAGAAAGAGTTGAGGCGTATTGAACAAGTCAGAGTAGCAGGTTTATATGCGAGCTAACGACGCAAAGTGAAAGATTGAGAATATCAAGTGAACAACGATTTTATGGTGGATGTTAAAGAAAGTCTCGAACTAGATTAAAACTTGTAAATCATATAGTTGACGAAAATTTTAATGAGGACGGTGACGTAAGATGGATGATCAGAGTTGCGCAACTGAAGCGTGATGTGGCGCAGTTGTATGCGTGTATGACTCGTTAGAAGTGGAGAACTAAATATCAGAAGTCTACGGGAATTATATGTCTTGATCTACATGTTTGATTTGGTGGATTGTTGATATAGGGATGATGTGCCAGGGTACTGTGTTTTCTCGTAAATATTTGCTGATTTTATAAGGATATTAATGTAGTGTTTGGTTGACGGTGAGTTATGTGTATATTTGCTGAGTTATACTGTTAAGTTGATGTTATAGTGATTTGTTTTCCATTGTCGTGATGTTGTTGTTGGTTATCATAAATGATGGATAATACTCCATAATATGACGAAGTTGATTATTTTGGCTATGTTGATGTCACTATAAGGGTTATACGACGATATAAATAGAGATGTTGATATTTTGTTAATAATTGACGAACACACATACTCTCTCTCTCACACACACACACATACACACACACACACACACACACACACACACAGACATATATATATATATATATATATATATATATATATATATATATATATATATATATATATATATATATATATATGGGAATGAAATTGCGTATGTGTTTTGGTGTTGAAAATGTTGTTAAGATGATAATTTGATGTTGTATATCCAAGTATAAGTGTGTTATGGTTGTTACTACTTTAAATGTTGATATTTCAAAATATTGTTGAAGTGGTTGATAAGTTATTAACGATTATGTCACGAAGGTGTGAAATGATTAGCATGTGTGTATTTGATTTAAATCGTGTTAAGTTATTGTTATGTCCAGAAAGTAGTGGTCAAAGTGTAGCCAGGCGTGACTTGGGGATCAGAGAGTGTGATGCGAAATTCGCGTTAAGGGTGGTAGTATCGAGTAGATTTTTGAGGATGAAAATATTCTAAGTGAGGGAGAGTTGTAACGCCCGATAATTTAATTAATTATTTAATTAAATTATTTTCAAATTATTTGTTGAAATGTGTGAAACGTTGTTATATGTTGCTAAGTTGTTATTTAGTTGATTATTTTAGTTGATTAATAATATTAGTAATAATATTAGAATTGTAGAATATTAATAATATTAGAATAATATAAGATTAAGTTGTTGGGCTTAGTTATATGGTGGTACGTAGTAAGGTGGGGGTGTGTAAGTTAGGCCCAAATGTGATTAATGAAATAAGGTTAAGTTGATATAAGAAATTAGGTTAATTAGAAAGATTAAGAAAGTCTGATGCAGTAACGTAGGAAGCGGCAGAGAGGAGGACCAAGGAAAAGAGACAAAGTTAGGTTCGATCGGAAAATTGTAGAGCGGCCTTCAATCCGAGGTAAGGGTGGGGTTATGACTCTAAAATAGGAATCATGATGAATAGTATGTAGGAATTGGGTTGGTGTAATGTTGTTGTGCGTATGTTGTTGTTTTTGTTTTTAAAATTGGTTGTTATCATTTTTTATCACGGTGTGGAGGTTCCTGAATTGTTTGCAGAATTAACTATTTGTTCTTGGAAATCATAATATTATTGATATAGTCGTTATGTTGCTATGTCAATGTAATACTGCATTGTATCATATTGTTATGAAAATACTGTTAATCGCAGGAAGATTTGGAGAATTCTGTGTTGAATCAGTAAGGCTGCGTGAGAAACACTTTGTGTCGGGGGAACAAGTGTTGTGCCGGATGACACAAGGTGAAGGAACGTTTCGAGGGGCACACGAGCATGTCGACCAACATGGAATGGAGATGATTGTGCAGAGGGGAACCCTAGGTGTGACGAGGGGCACGTCCCTAAAACTCTGTTTTTCAGTTGTTCTTCCTGTTCTTGGACCTATTACTTTATTAGTTCTAATTATTAGCAAACAATAAATGTTTATTAGCAGCAAGTTTAATTAAGTAGCAGAGTTAACGGTAATAAGTAACATAATTAGTAAATAATAGCAGAGACTAATTATCAGTTACCAAAGTAAACAAATTGTAGATTAGCATATATAGCAGGTAGAATTAATAGATGACAGAGTCAAAATGCTTAGCCGTGACAATTATTAAGTTGTTGTGACGATGTTGTTGTTAATTGCGAAGTTGCAGGTAGTGATGAATTTTGTTGTGTTGCCTGTTCTGATTGGCTAAAACCAAGTTGTAGGCCATTAATAGTAAAACAATAGCAGAGATAATTCATAGTAGTAAAATTTAATTGCAGGAACTTTATCGTAAAACTATTAACAGTATAATAGCATAGTACATGTAGCAGGAATACGTTGACAGTAGGAGTTAATTGGGAAATAGTAATAGGAAGCTATTAGCAATAAGACAACAGTAGAGAATTGATTAGTAGCACTAGCAGTAGTGGAAATTGTTGATAGCAGTACTAGCTTATGTAATAATTGCAGCGGGTTAATATTAGAGGAACCGCCGCAGAATATCTAATAACCGAATATAGACGTATAGCTGAAATATTTATGTAGTGCTTTTGCAATGGGTTTCGATTATATTTATGAGTTTTACTATGTTGTGGTAATGTCAATATTGTTGACGATGCGAAGTTGCAGGATATACCGATGTTGTTGAAATGCCTCTAATTCTTGGCAGATATTATGTTATAGGCTTATGGCCAACGTTGATTTATGTTGAGTTAATGTTGAATTGTTGATGATGTTATAGGCTTATGGTCAACGTTGATTTATGTTGCGTTGTTGTTGTTGTTGTTGCTACATTCATAATTGTGTTGCATACATCACATCTCAAGTTGGAGTTGATGCTCGTTAAGTTGGTCTGGATTGGAAAAATATTAAGTTGAAGGCCTATGCCTTGTTGATGCCTCTATTAATTGGCAGATTATTAAGTTGAGAGTTTTGCTTCATTAGTACCACATACATTTTCATCTTAACAAGTCGCATTTCATGATGCATCTTGAGTTGTTGTGATGATGAATTGATTGTGATATTATGTTGATGACTTAGTTGTAATGGATGTCGTTTGAAAGCTATGAAGCGGTGATTTTGCATGATATGATTCTAATATATTATTTATCATACATTCTAATATATTGTTGGATATCTTACCCCTTCTGTTTGAATGTTGCCCCCTGTTGGTAACGTGCAGGTAATCCATAGTGAAGGTTGTTTACCTTCATTAGTTCTAGTCGGTGTCGTTGCTCTGATACGTAACACTCCGGGGATGAACGCTTGTTGCTTTATCGTTGTTATTACGTCCATTATTTAATTTTAAGTTGATTTTTTTAAGTACTTCTTGTTTTGAAGTTGTTTTCAGTTGGACAAATATGTTATGTCATTTGAGTTGAAAGTTGTGATTCCGCTGCTTAAGTAATAAAATTTGTTTCATTTTAAAGACTAAAATTGTTGTCATTTGTCCATCCGATGTTTTAAGTGTTATGTATCTGTTTTATATGTGATTAACTGTCGTTGTTATAAGTCGAAAGTGTAGCATCCTATTTATATGTCGAAACTCTATAACTCTGATTTTATTAATATTCGTCGGGTAGAAATGTGGTATTACAACTTACCCTTGAGAGGTGAGTCCTGCAAATTAACAGTAAGTAATTTAAAAGGTATTAACCCATTTCATGTTGCATCCTGAGTTGTTGTGATGATGAATTGGTTGTGATATTATGTTGATGACTTGGTTGTAATGGATGTCATTTGAAAGCTATGAAGCGGTGATTTTGCATGATCTGATTCAAATATATTATTTATCATACATTCTAATATATTGTTGGATATCTTATCCCTTCTGTTTGAATATCGCCCCCTGTTGGTAACATGCAGGTAATCCAGAGTGAAAGTTGTTTACCTTCATTAGTTCTAGTCGGTGTCGTTGCTCTGATACGTAACACTCGGGAGATGAACGCTTGTTGCTTTATCGTTGTTATTACTTCCATTATTTAATTTTAAGTTGATTTTGTTAAGTACTTGTTGTTTTGAAGTTGTTTTCAGTTGGACAAATATGTTATGTCATTTGGGTTGAAAGTTGTGATTCCGCTGCTTAAGTAATAAAATTTATTTCGTTTTAAAGACTAAAATTATTGTCATTTGTCCATCCGATATTTTAAGTGTTATGTGTCTGTTTTATATGTGATTAAATGTCGTTGTTATAAGTCGAAAGTGTAGCATCCTATTTATATGTCGAAACTTTATAATTTTAATTTTATTAATATTCGCCGGATAGAAATGGGATATTACAACTTACCCTTGAGAGGCGAGTCCTGCAAATTAACAGTAAGTAATTTAAAAGATATTAACCCATGTTGCATGAAATTAATATCAGCAAAGAGTAAAATGCATACTTGAAAATTAAAAGGCCTAAGGAACATGGCCTGAATGTCAAGAGTGCCACGAAGGGCATGATTAAAATTACAAAATAACGATTTTCTGAATAAAAAACAAATACTAAAGATAATAAAGCGAAAGCTAAAATGGCAAGGACGCCTTGATCTTCTCATATTGATCTTTCACAATGGTAAGTCGACACAAGTAATAAAATAGTTATCTTGAAATCAGCAAGTTCCACATCCAAATTATGACCCTGTCAAAATGATGGACCCCTATTAAGGCTTCAGCATCTAATACTTTCTGAGTGGTGTTGGATACGTTAGCCTAAAGAAGCTACTGAGGAGCTCAAACATTTGTCAGTAAAAGTGCCTCTGGTTCTCATCATAATTTTTAAATGCTCTAAAGGTTTTCTTGAGCATAGCCAGTTCATCTTGAGACATAGCGATTTAAGCAGTAGGTGGAGTTTTAGAAATCGGAGTAGTGCCGAAGGGGATGCAACCCTCTGGATTGTCTTTTGGAATAGCGGAAGAGTTTAACAAAGCATCTTGGTTAGCATGGTCTTTGCATGCCTTGTCTTCTCCACCCTTGTCGTTGGCAGCCTTATCTTCAGAAGTTTTGTCTTCAGTGGAGGCCATGTCACCTTGAGCTTTAGCATCATCATTTTGGGGATAGCCATTAGGGGCTATGATTTGATTTTCTGCGTCCTCATCAAGATGTTCACTCTCTGGAGAATACTCTAGTTCTTTGTTGTCAGTGGCGGAAGAAGAAGTGTTTGACCTTGGAGATTGAAGGTCACTTTGACTTCTGAAGGTTGATTGTCTTCATTAGCAGAAAGAGTAATGAAATGTGGAGAGCTGGTGGTTGTTGGCATAGAAAGCTTTATGGTCAACAGAGAATTTTCAACATGAATTTTCTATAAAGAGATAAGGAAATATTTTTCTGCAAAGATGTTGTTTTCATCTTCTGGTATTTTTAAAAGGAGAGATTTGTCGAAGCTAGGAATACTTGGAATCCACCATCTGTACTTGAATTGATGCTTTTAGGCTTGTTCAGAGCCACTGTCAGAATTGGTTTTGACAACTTAGGATTGATGTTCAAAATGATGTGCTTCCCAGCCTTCGACGCCTTTACTTCAGCAGTAGGAGCAATCTTTGAAGAAACAACAACCTTTGGGTTAGGGGCATCTCGAGTGGCTTTAAACTTCTTTGCCTTCTTAGGAGTATCAAGTGAAGAGTTTCGAGTATTGGTGTCGATGTCGACCTATTTGATCCTGACACCCTTGCGTCATTTCTTGGGTAAGTCTTGAGGCTCGTCATCAACCTATACCTAAAAGAATAAGTGCAAGAGAAAATATAAGCTACATAGGAAATAAAGATACAAAGAAAGCTTAAGAGCAAAGGATAACCTGAGTAATATGGGTTGAGGCATCTTTGTTAGCCTTTTTGTGGGTAGCATTGGCACCGCTGGCCGTCTCCCTTGTACGCGCCTTATGTTTGACAACTGAGGGACAAGATAACGAAGTAAGTATAAAATTCCAAAGGAAAAGGGGAATGAATAAAGCAGGAATCATGTTGCTTTAGGCAACTTCATATATAGAGGATAAAACCTTGACATGTGTTATGTCAACATGAAGATGCCCTTTGAAGTTGTATAAGTTGTGCTTAATCGGGACCACTTGATAGGCCGATTTTAAATGTTCGTTATTGAACACCTTCAATAAAGACCCATAAGTAACCACCATGGAAATGAGGGTCGAATGTCAATGCCATTTCAAAACTTGGCAAAGGTGGGAATTTCGGTGGGTAAAGTTTAAAGGAAAACTCATACATGTCTTTGTCTATGATGTAAGGCAGAAGTTTCATATCAGGGAGTTTTTTCATAAACTTTTCTTTGAGAAGTAGTTGACCAAAGACAAAAGTCGCTCTTTCGAGTATAAAAACATCGACGTAAAATATGGCAAAGCCCAAATTGGCATGACACTAAATTGGGCTGATAACATAGGATCTTCACGCCTTCTTTACGGCCAAGTCTTGTGGTGATAAGTACGGGAGTGAGAAACGCTTCCCAGATTCCCCTAGATTCAGCCAACTGGTCAGGGTTAGATGGAGGAAACTATCTGGTAAACCATTCATATTTGTGGCTTCGTTTGGAAAAAGGATCCATAGTAGACGAAAACTTATAGTGTTTCGCAAACATTAGGAAATACTTCTTCAGAGAATCTTGCATAAAGAGAGCTGAGTCGTTAGGGGTCATCAAGGCCCTGTGAGTACATTCAATAGTTCTATTTTTTAAAGTATTGTCATGGTCGTCAGGCTTGTCGACTCCCAAAACATGTTCAAAGGTGGAATTTAGCCAGAGTTGGAGTAACCAAAATGGTCCAATAAGTAAATAACTGGTGTTGGGTTTCAGGGTCTCCATGGTCAAGACCCCTTCGCCTATAGATTCATAGAGCAAACCCATGATCAGTTGCCTTAGACAAATGCCGCGACCCTCATGTAGTTGGTTAGCTAGGGCGAAGAACCTCTTAGCTACCTTCAAATATCAGCAATAGAAAACACACCTCGACAGCCATAACACCAAGAAAGAAATGTGTTATGTGTGAGACACCGTGGAAAAAGTTTTGTCATGATAACACTCCATGTATTTGGTGAAGCCGACATAATCTTTGTAAAAGTCGATCGTGTCCTCATCATTGTATGTCGGATCAAAAACCTCTCTTGTGGGACGAGGGTCGGTAATGGCTGCTATGTCGAAATGGGTTGGGGTGAACATTCCACAAGGGAATTGGAAGGTGTTGGTTGAACCCTCCCAGAAATAGAGGGAAGCGACTAACAAGTTTTAGTAGTAAAGAGGACCAACTCTCGATAACTGAATTAAGTCGAAATTCCCCCCATCCTTCTAGAATTGGATTTTGGCTTTTTCGTCTTAACCAAACGAGATAGTTGGCATTGACTAAAGGGGAAAAAAGAAATACCCTAGAGGTACAATACAAGTAATCAAAATCTAGGGGGTTTTCTCACTAACTTTGGGTTTAGTGAGATGATATGTGGGGAAAAACTCCTTAATTCTCCCAACATCTCTAGAAGGCTCAAGGATTGGACGCGTTAGAGTGTGAATGGTATCAGCAATGGAGAGAGGGAGAAGTACATGAGATAGGAAAATACAAAGTTTTTCCTCCTGTAGCGGTGGTTCAAGGATGTATTGCTAATTTCTGATTTCCATTGGTGTGTTGAGCTTGATGACCAAAGGAAGATAATCCTTAGTCTTCTTCTCGTATTTGATTTTCACCGAGGAAGCCATTGTTGAATTGTGAAGAATATGAGACTAAAGAGTCGGGGAGAAGAAATGGGAGCTGATTAAGTTTGAGTGCGGAGGAAAAGATAGTAATGGAGTGAAGTATGTATTTATATTATTAGGTCTTTGATTTTATGGTTGTCAACAATTTTGGTAAAACAAACAGTTGGCAACAATTTTATCAAAACATGTTTCATTTGGAAAACATGTATTGCAGCCTAGTGTTAAACAAGATGTCATAACATCTTTACCAGCTGGTACAACAGAGTCTGCTGGTATGTTATTTGACAGATGTTCTATCATATGTTGTAACATGTTACAACAGAACATCATGACAGTACAATTAGATGATATCCTTGAAGATTTGATTGAAAAATATGAGTTTCTAGAGGCTTCTAGTACTCATAACAGGCGCATGAAATCAAGGAGTTTTTAGGAACAACTGCAGATTTAATTTGTTTCATAAAAAGGATCTTAGATACTTTTTAGGAAATATTTGAAATATTTTTTTTTGTTTCTATTTTAGTGGAGAAGATTCTGCAGGTATTTACAACTGAAGATTAGATTTGATTAAGGAGTCCAAGCCAACTGTAAGAGTCTATTTAAAGGGACGTCCAAGACCTTGTTTTTTAGGCATTTTTTTAATTGTAAAACCTTATGAAAAATAAGATTTTAGCGTTTGAGAGTTCCTTATGTTTTTCGTGTGTTCTTTGTACGGCATCATGTATCTTTTGATGCATTTTAGTTGACTGATTGTTACTTATTTATAAAGTTATTTTTATCCTCTAAGCTCTTAAGAAAAGAGTCGAGTATTGTTCTTAGTTAAGCTTTTAAGCAAAACTAAGTATTTTTGTATTGGAAGAGTAATCTTCTTTTTGGTTTCTTTAGACATTCCCTGGGATTGGGATTGTTTGATATCACTGCGGTGATTGGGAGTGAGAAGAGTTATCATTTCTAGGAGGTTCCTAGGTAGAAATTTCATTGGGTAGGGATTAAGTGAGAATTTGTAAATTGAGATTGTTTAGGCTTCAGATTGATACTACTGATAATGGATTTACTTCTTGACTTGGCAGCCCCCAGAGTAGGTGAAGTTGCACCGAACTGGGTTAATAATTGATTGTGTTCTTTAAATTTCTGAAATTTATTTTCTGCATAATCTTTCTAATTTTAGAAAGTATGTTTGCTATCTGCAGATGTTATAACATATGTGTTGTACCCCAAAATTTTCCCTCCCATTTTACTCAACATATGTTTATTAAGATCCTCAACTTGCTCAAGGATGCCCAAGAGTTGACCAAACAAACTCTCTCCTAAAGCAATAAACCTCCAACTAGGGTTTCCATTTTCATCAAGATGGGTGATCTACAAAGGCCTCATATGTTCTCCATAGTCCTAATATGTTCTCAAGACCATCCATGTCAAGATTCATGCCTTGCACAAGAAGTTTGCCCAGTCAACTACTCAGATGCTTGAAAATCAATTGTATTAGGTCAAAAGTCAACTATGGCCCACATATAGTCAAACTTCAAGATTTTTGGTCAAAATCAACATTTTGAAGTGATATTTATCATTTGATCAAGGATTGATCATGATTCCCAAAGGAATGCTCCTAATTCATCAAAACTCAAAAGTTGCTAAATTAGGGTTTCTTAGGAAAAGTCAACCAAACTTTGACCAAGCATAACTTTCTCATACTTTATCAGAAATTTTCCATCTAAGGCTCATTTTGAAGATAATCCAATTCCCTACAACTCATATTCAACCCTCAAGCTCAAGAAGTTCACTCATGAAAATATATGAATTCAGACATTATAGGTCATTCCAAGAAGTCAACAAAAACACCTTTTGGGTCAAAGCTTCTTACATGAACATGGAAGATCCAATTGAGATGAAACCAAAAGGGATGTTTAGGGGACATCCTAAGATTTCTAAAAAGTCCAAGAACACCCTCTTAGGGTCAAAATTGAAGGAGATGTGCATTGTCAAAGTTGGCCATTTTTGGAGAATTGTCAAAAGTCAACAATGCCCAAAATTGCATTTTTTGGCAAATGGGCCTAACTTTTTATGCTTGCATCTTGCTTATAGCAATGTCCACGACCCAAACACTCTCTCATATATTATTGACTTTATTTATTTGATTTATTTTGATTTTAATCATTTAAAAATCAAATTAAATCAAATAAATGATATAAAATATGGAAGATTTGTTTTTGATCTGATTTTGAATGAAAATGAAATCCATTTATGCTATCAAAACAGAATCAAATCGTGCCAAGGTTGATTGGGATGAGAATGGAATGATTTAGCTTGATTTGGAAAGAAATAATGCAAGGATGGAAGGAAATCAAATCTTGATAATTGGCAAAGATTTGAAGCCTTTTTGTTAACCTAATTCAATCAGATACATATACAAAACAAATCCCATACACAAGGAGAGAGGTTGATCGCGTGAAACGGCCATGAACAAGTTGCTTTTTTGTCAAAAAATCTCAACTCGAATTCCATATTACAGCCATCCTCAAGGAGGTTTAAAGATTGCAACATGTTCCTGGACACCTCTGGAAGCTTTTCCAACCCTTGCCAAGCTCTAAAGCATCAAGAATCACGCTCCATACACATCACGGTTTGATATTATTTTTGATTTTGATTCTAACTTGCGCATGTTTAATGTTTTTTAAGCACACATTCATGTTGGTGTTGTCATTTGGAACGTGTTGGCTTGATTAATTGTAAGTTTTGATGCATACAGGGACAATTGCCATTATTAGGTTTTAAGGTTGAATTTTAGGGTTTCATTATATAGGTAAAATTAGGGTCAAATATGGGCATCATGATGCTCACGAGATCAAGCCTGGTTGATTGGTATATTTGAATCTCATTTATCTTAATTGTTTGAGTTTTTTGAATGATGCAGGGTTGTAGTTATAGACATGGAGCCGTAGGTAAAAGTCTGAGCCTAAGACAACATAACTGGGGAAGAAGATGATTGCGTGGCAATGTCCCACTGGCCAATTTGAATGTTGGCGCGTTTTCGTTCTGGGCATAACACGTTTTTTGTTATATTATATTTTGTTCATTTATGTTAACAAAAAAACCATATGGCCCAGTGGCGTACAGGAAGTACGATAAGGCGT